CTTGGGTTTCTAGTAACTCAGGCTTTATAGCTTTCATCAGCTTTGGGAAATCCTTAGCCATTATCTTTTCACACATCTTTTTCTCCACCCTCCCTCTTGTTTCAAAACTCCAATTGCATATGTATTTAGCAGCTTAAATTATCACATAGTTCACTGATGATCTCTTCATTTCTTTCAACTTTTTTCCTCTGTTTTGTTTTGAACAATTATGTGTAGCTGTATGTTCAAGCTCATTAATCCTTTTTTTCTACAATGGCTAATCTTCCCTTAATGTCATCCAAACTCAGTTTTCACATCTCACATTGTAGCTTTTAAATCTAGAATTTTGATTTGAGTTTTTTATATAGCTTTCATGCCTCTACTTTACCTGTTTAATTTTTCTTTTTAGTTTTTAAGCATATGGAATATATTTATAATAACTCTTTTAATGTTTTTTTCTACTAAATCTTTCATACATGTCATTTCTGCCTCAATTTAAATTAATGGCATTTTCTTCTCATCTCTTGCTTCTTTGCATGCATAGTCATATTTTGGATCACAGGCCTTGCATATTTTATTTTGTCATGTACTTAACTTTTTTTTTTTTAATTTAAAAATATTCTCAGAAGAAAGGATGATGAAGAGAGGTTGATCAATGACAGCAAATCCAGTCTTCTAGGAAAATTAAGACCTAGTGCTTGCCAGTTCTGTAGGGTGACTATAGTGTACAATAATCTCTTGTATATTTCAAAATAGCTAGAAGATAATAATTTCAATATTTCTGGCATGAACACAAATATTTAAGGTGATGACTATATATCCCAATTACATTGATTTGATCTTTTACAAAGTATATGAATATATTAAATTATCACATTTCCTGAAAATATGTAAACCTATTATGTACAAATACAATTTTAAAAAAACAGCTAAAAAATATAAGTATTCTTGGGCTTTGTACTGGATGCAGTTGTTACTTGCAAATTGTTTAATGCTTTCAAGTCTCTATCTTTTAAGCTTCATTAAATGGACCACAGTACCGTTTATTCTTGGGTTAATTTCCCCCACTACTGAGGCAAGACCTTTGTTAATGCTCTAATTGATGCCTCATGAATTACAGTTTTCTACTCTGTTAGAAGCAGACATTAGTGTAAGCCCTTTGGAACTTAGGACACTCTTCGTTCTAATTTCTTTGGATAGTTATTTTTTTCTGTATTGTCTAGCTTATTCACATGCATGTGCAAATCATACTTAATTAAAACCTTCAGGGATACCTTCTTCAAGTTCTCAGAGTACTTTTTCTGTACATCTCTCTTTCTCTAGCACTCTTCCCTGAGAGCTCTAGACAGATTTGCTTCCTCAGTCTCCCAGGTCCATCTCAACTCAGAGAAACCATCAGATTCAGCCTGGGCTTCCTTTCTCTACACTGTGGCCCAGACTATTATTCTATCCAGTAATCTGGGTCAATCATAATGAAGTCTTTATTTCTCTTCCTCTCTAAATCATCACTATTCTTTATAGATTGAGATGGACAATACTCAATGAGACCACAATAGTGACTTTGCATTGACTGTAAATGAGCATTACCTGTGATATGCCACATTTGGCTTTGTTGAAGGGACATCTCACACTGCCAACATAGCCATATTATTCTTGAGTTCTTTGAGCATATTATATGATAGTTGTGGAGGAAAGTGACTAATAATTACACAACAAGTAAATCATCAATATAGTTATTTTAATCCTCCTCTACAAGATCAACTTTTTATTGTATATTTATGTGGGACTCTAAAAGCACATTTTGAATGGCCTAGACACGTGCAATCTTCTCTCATTATGCCCTTCAGGCTATAACACCACAGAATTGTAATTCCAAATGTGATCACTATGTCATGAAGAATCACCTATAACTTGGGTTTTATTTTATTTTTTT